AAATGCCCAGTAGAAATTAATCACAAAGAGAATCAGCTATAGCAGTCACCAACAGAAAACATCACAGACAGTGCTCTGGCCCATCTTAAACCTTACTTACAAGAGCTGTCAGCAAAACCCTGTCTCCAAGGACCATTACTTTTAGGGAACTCTGCCAATCGCAGCATTACTCAGAAGGCACTGTTTTTTAATGTTCCTCAAATGCCTACTGTCAAACTAAACCAAAGCTCTGAAGGACTTCAAACACTTCCAAGTTTAGGTAAGGAAACACTCCCAGATTCAAGTGTTGCCTGAGGGCCAGGTAAGCAGGAGGCCTTTCTCCTCCCCTAGTTACAAACTTTCGTTTGTCAGAGTAGCCTTGTAAAATTCATTTACACTCCAGGATTTGGATTCTAATGGTTACAGAGAACTTTCTTAGCCTAGAATTTTATTTCCAGCTGTCTTCCCTTGTGCAGAGTAAGGAGGAGAACATCAATTTCTGAGTCATTTTGAAAACTTTTAGCCTAAGACAAAAAAAGACAAATGGCAAATGGTAAAAAGGTAAGAGCCACATTTCATTTGTTTCTAAGTCTCTCTCTGTACACTCAAAGCCCCTGCTGACTTCATAAAGGAGACATCTTGCACAAAAGTGGCCCACGTGGGAAGCAGGGAACTAGAAATGATCCAAGGTTCCTGATAGGGAGTTATCAATGAAATCCCTGCGTAATCATAATGTCATTACTTTGTTTTTGCTGGATGACAAAGTCTCTGTAGTATCATTTGCTTCAAGCAGACTATATATCATAATTCTCCTCCTCTGAGTAATTTTTTTACTGCTAGGAAAATACTGCGTGCATGGAAAAGCATCTTGAGAAATGGTGAAAAATATTTACTTTCACTTAAAATTGCTTTTTATACACTGAGTGTCAAAAAGTATAAACAAAAACTCGTGTGAGTGAACCAGAGGATTTTTGCAATACGAATGCCTATCATGAGAAAATCTAAATACATAAGTTAACAAGGTGTTTAGATGTAAATTCAGAACCATACTATTAGCACCCAATGGTAACTTTAAACATGGAACTTAGCATTTAAAGTATAACTTAGAGATACTCTTACATTTTTATTCTACCCAACCCTTTTGTTATTTAACCTCTTCATAATTTCTTAAACGCATTTCTTTAAGATGGGAGTTAATAATTAGGTATGCTAGAGACAAAGCATGTTTTGATTTTATCAAGGCAATTTTTTAAAATGTCTTCTGATAGTTTTGCAATCAACTTGGAAGACTAAGGATTTTGCAGCAAATGTTCTCAAAGGCTGAACAACTGCTCTCAAAGTTTGCCTGAGTAATGGGCTGGTAGCAAGATGGAGGAAGGTTTCTAGAGGTGTGGCAGGAAGATCTGTCTTTATCCTGCATTATATTATATGTCAGGAGCTGACACAGTGCTCAGGCTGGTTAAATTAAAATAAAGAAGTAGTCTCCTAATATGGAAACAACATGGACTCTAGAGTCAGAAAACTCAGAGTTTGAATTGTGGCTCTCTCCCTTATTATCTATGTGATTTGGGGCTAACCATGCAGAATCTCTTATTTTCAGTTTCCTTAATTCTGTGAGGAAAAAAAGAAAAAATACATATTTATGAGAGGCACACATAAGGGGCTCAAAAAGTGATACCATCAAATCTGCAAATGGTACAAAGCTGGGAGTAGAAATGTTATAGAGTTAAGGTTCAAAACTTTTATTATATCATAGAAAGATGAGCTAAGATAGTGATGAATACTATAGCGGGAAGAAAAATAAAATCATATAGTTAAATTTTTTGTTTTAAATTCAATTGCTATAGCATAGAATGGGGATATCCTGGCATAACAGTAGCTTACGTAAAAAAGTTTCTGAAAGCTTGAATGATGAAGAATTTACTATGGAAGTAAGACACAGATACTTAATTATTAAGTGTAATCTTCTATTACAGAAGCATATATTATGTATAAATCTAGAAAATTAAATCGCCTAATGCACCTCGCCACAGCCATATTCCACCTGAAGCACCATGTTCAGTCCTGGACATTGTAGTTTCAGAAAAGTATTTACAAAATATAGTATATCCTGAAAAGGAAGTCAGAATGGCGAAATGCTTATAAAAGAGAATGATGAAGAGATGGGATAACAAGCTAAAAAAGAAATTTAGGGAAAAATGTGATAACTGCCCTCAAATATAAAGAGCAATAAAAATTAAAGAGAAATAGTAATAACTAATATGTACTGAGTACTTATTATGTGCAAAGTAGTCACTATTATCCTTATTTTGCAGATGAGAAAACTGAGAAAAAGAGGCTATAAGCTACATGCCTAGTCCTAGTAAGGGTTAGCCGGGTTTCACCCGAGTAGTATATCCCCAGATCTGGGAGAGATATTAGAGCTATTTGCCAAATATTTCTAGTCTTACCGGATCATGGTAAGATTGTATTCCCCCAATTTCTTTGAAGTTGGATATGGACATATGATTTTCTTTGGCCAATGAAATGTGAATATACATCACGGTCATCATTTCAGAGAGGGATTAAGAGTCTGTGTACAACTTGCCACACACTATTCCCACCACAGATGTGTAGAGATGGAGCATCCATCAGTTTAGATCTCTGAATGACAACAATGAACAGAACTTCCCTGCTGACCCATGTTCAACAAGTAGCAGCAAGAAATACACTGTTATTGTTTGATTAAGCTGCTGAGATTTCGGGGTTGTTTGTTACTGTAGCATCACCCAGCCTTTTCTGACAGATATAAGAGCCCACATACCTAAAAATCACTAAAATATCTCAGAATAAGGAAACATATTTATTCCTATATTTCCAGAGGTTATAACTAAGAATTATTTGTAGAAACTACAGATAGGCAAATTTGGGCAATTTGCCTAAGTTGTCCAAAAGTTGCTTCATGAGGTAGTGAGCTCCCTGACAATGGCAGTATTTTAGCAGGAGCCAGATGATCATTTTGTACCATCCACGTAGCAAAACAGATGGCTTAATTAAGGAGGTTTAATGTATCAAACATTTACTGAGCACCTCCAATGTGCCAAGCATTCCAGCCACAAAGACACATTCAAACATTCAATCTGTATCCTCAAGGAAATAATCATCAAGTTCAGAACTTGATAACCTCTGTGGTCTCTTCTAAAAGTGTGATTCAACCAAATTAGAGATAATAACATGGCCTAGATGAAGCTGACAGCAAGCCCGAACTTACAAATAACCATGTAGCACTAGAAATCTTGCCGATGTTTAGGTTGTATTATTATTTTTCAATTAGGAGCCAAAAGTATAGGGTTTGCAAAAGGGGAGAAATGAGAGAATTGCTGGGTTTCAAGGAGGAACATTTTCCCTTTCTCAAGTTACCATTCTTCAGTCTTGCTAACCAGGCATATTATCTGACTTACATCAGGCATCAGGGTGTTCCAGCAAAGGGAATAGCACTGACTCACAGCAATTGTTACCGACCTTTTCCATCACTGCTCCCATCCCTTGGAGTCAAGAAAGGAACATTTCAATACTGATCAAGTTGGACCTAAAGAGAGGCAATGACCTTTCTAGAGGGCTATTCTTCAGTTTAGGAATCAGCCAAAGCCTTTCCAAAATATCAGAAACTTTCCCTAAAAGGGTGTGCAAGCAAGGCCTAGAGGAAGCCCACATTCAAAGGATGATGTAAAATCCCAAACTGAATGAGTGATTCCAAGGGACACCAACATTGTTTCCTAAGTGATACCTTTAAACAGCACTAACTTCAATACTTACTTTCCCTGGTGGGATCAGTAGTTCAAGGTTGGTTTGCATGTTTAAACTTTCAAAAATCAAGGAGTGGAGTGATATGCTGTCTTTTCACTGGCTCACTGCATTTTAATGGCAAAACAACAAAAACCTGGATAAGCATTAACTATAATTGCTCTGAGGCAGGCATTTCCATTTCAGGTTATTATTCCCAACGATATTAGTGCAGAATAATACATGCGGATGGATTTTGTAGCCATTACCTAGACATGGGCGAGGACATCTGATTACTATTGTTTCCCAACTCAAAAGCTTCAGTTTGAACTTTGAAGCCTCCAGCCCTGCCAGGACCTGAATTTTCTGAACTACAGCTCTGATTTCCTATGAATTAAACACAATAATCAGCTGGATTACAACACCATCTCTTCAGTCAGTTCAGTGTGACATGAGTTTCTCAAAAAATACACATACAGAAGAAATTGGCTTTGGCATAAGAGCAGGAGGGAATTTGCATCTCGTGCTAGTTTAATGTGCACCCTTAATACCCTCGCCTATTTAAAAAAAATACACTGCTATTCTTGCAGACGCAGCTGGACCCCTCTGATACCCGGTCTTGTGCCAAGATACGTACACACGAATACACTCTTTACAAACACAGATGTGAAATGTGTGCTAGGGCAGAAGCGAAGCATAGAGATCCTGGTGTTTAGTCTAGTGGCTCCACACCCAAAAGTTTCAGGGACAAAAACGATGTTCGAAGAGTGCGAGGGGAGACCGCCCATCCTGTACTTTCCTCCGGGCGCTACGGAGACGACCCCATTTTCTCACCATCAGTTTGCCCTCCGCCCTGGTGACCCGGGTTGCGGTTTAATCTAGGGCCAGAGGAGGTCAAGACAATTGTGCTGTTGGGTTACTCAGGCGGAGAGCAGGGCCGGGAACCCCTAAGCCTCCCCGGGATGGCCGGGCTGACACACCCACCCAGGACGGATGGCCCAGGGGTGCGGCAAGGCGGCAGGAATGGGGGACGCGGCGCACCCTTGCCGCGAGCGCACAAAGATGCCGCGACTGCGGACACGCGCGAGTCCAGAGTCCGGGCTAGGAGGTCACGCTACGCTCAGAGGAGGATGCCCTTTTCCTCCTCCGCGTCCCCCGGCCCCGTGCAAAGTGAGCGGGAGAAAGTTGTGCCCGGGCCATGGCGGCCAGGGCTGGCGAAGGGACCGCGGGCGGGCGGAGAAGTGACCGGGCCCCCTTACCTTGTCCTTGGGGCCGAGGTTCTGCAACACCTCCTTGCCGGTGGCGCTCCGAATCTCCACCCCGGCGGGCGCGGGCGGCGCGGGCGCGGGCTCCCTGCTCTCCTCCCGGCCTTGGCCCCGGCGCGGGGTGTCCCCCTCGACCCCCGGCCGGCTCCCCGCGCTGCGGCCGCTGCCCTGGCTGCTCCGAGGAGTCTTCGCGCCCCGCTGCCCCACGCTCAGGGCATCGAAATCCAGCGTCTTGCTCTCGAAGGCGCCCTCCACGTTGCAGAACATGCCGCCGTACTTCTGCCGCGGGACCTGGTCGGTGGTGCCCGGCCTGGCCAGGTACACGGGCAGATCATCCTCGTGGGAGCTGTCCCAGCCCCTCCGGCCCGAGGCCATGGCTCAAGCGCGGCAGCGACCCGAGAGCTTTTCTTCCTCAGAGGCGGAAAGGGCAGCCGCCGGCAGCGTGCGCCGAGCCACAGTGAGCGGGGCGGGAGGAGGCGCCTCAGCCTTCGCGCCAGAGGCGGCAGTGCTGCTCCGATTCCTGCCTGTCCCCCGCGAGCCGGCGGGCCAGAGCGCCAGGGAGCGCGCGGCGCAGGGGCCCGGCGCAGCGGCGCGCCCGGCTCGCTCGCGGGACCTCCCGCGCCCCCAGCCCTCCCGCGGCCGCCCGGGCTGGCGCGGCGCTGGTGCCCGGCGCACACACAGCCCCAAACTTGGCGCGCGCGCACGCACGCCGCGCGCCCGTTTCCCGCTCGCGCCGCAGCCCCCCGGACTTCACACGCTTACACACAATTCCGGTGTCTCCGTGTTCGCACGCAAGAACTTGGACTCACGTCCGCGCACAAACCCCACTCTCACCCACACCAACTCCCGAGTTTACCTCACAAACACAAATCTTTCTGACCCCCTCACGCACAAAGCGCCAGCCTTAACCCAGGTGGGTTCGTCTCAAAGCCAAATCCTGACTCACGACAACTAACACATACAAACTCAGAACTTTAGCACAAACTCACAGTCCTACCCATAAACCCTGACTTGCCTCACCCTGATCTTCGAATTGTCTCACAATTACACTCACGTCCAGAATCTACCTCACAAACCTACACCTTTACATAAACTCCTGAATTGGGTTACGCGCACACACACACACACACAAAACACACATACACACACACAGAAACCCTCGTATTTCATTGACAATCACAAAAGCTTGTCATTGATACACCCATTCTTACCTTATGTATATACCATCCTAGGCTTTGCTTTTTACCCACCCCTAATTTGCCTCACACACAACTACATTACAGGTCACAGTTGTGCACACATCCCTAGATTTTGCCTTGCAAAATACTCTTCTTAATACTCTGTCCTTCATACAACAAACCCCAGATTTATACCTTACACACTGATTAGAGCCAGGTTTACCTCAGTCTTCTGAACCCCTACACTTAGGTTCACACACAAGCCAAGATTTACCTCAAAAATGCACAACCAAAAAAATTTCACGCTTTGCCTTCCTTGTTACCTCACTTATATGCAGACTTTACTTATATACATGCTCTCATAACCTCATCCTCTTCCTTACATCCACTCACATATACTCTGACCTAGACTTTGCCACATAAACAGAGTTCACACACTGCAGAGTTTGCATGATATCTGCACACACAGCCTTGACCCAGAACCTGCAGTACCCAGATTTAGCTGGGCTCCCTCTCAGAAATTCATCCATTTATGTATTTATTCAGCCATCATAAATCAATTGCTCACTACGCCTTTCACAAGATACTGGAGCGGGTCCCAACCAAGAGTGTATAGTCCATAACCACCCATCTAGGTAGCACAAGCACTCACTGTTCTGCTCAGCATACTGAATTTTGTTTTGTTTTGTTTTGTTTTGTGAACCAACCCCCACGCCTACCCCCATTAAGCCCCATGAAGGCAGAGATCTGGTCTATTCACTTTGCCTTTATGTATCTTGTGCCCAGAATATCTACAGGTACGTAATAGGTACTCGATAAAATCCTTTTGGAAAAAATGGGTGATAATTACAACAACAATAACACCAGGGAACATTTATGGAGCTGTTGCTATGTGCCAGTCATCATTATGATTGTTTCACATATAGTTACTCATCTAATGCTCATAATCATACGGCAGGCTTCTTCGTGCACACTGACACAATATTTGAAGACATGTGCACTGAATTTGGTGAACTGAAACTCTGACCTCCATTTGGGGAGTGGAACAAAGACACTGGAAGCCAGAAGCTCAGTGGCGGGCCTGTGATGGTCACAGAGGTTTGGAGGATGGAAGTTGGCCCGAATGCAAATCAAAGACAGGTATGTTGACCTACCCTCAGCAAAGAGAAAGCTTGTACTCTATCAAAATTATCTATGTATGATTTCTTAAACTGACTTCCTCTGGGCAGCTGTTCCTTTTTTGACAAATGCTAATTGGTGATGGAACCAGAGTTTCATGTAAGTACTGCCTCAGAGCAATTTCAGTTAGTGCTTTTCGAGGTTTTATTAGTACTCTGTGCTAAGGACATCCCCTGCAGTATCTTAATTAGTCTTAATAACTTTAAAAGTCAGGAACTATTGTTATTTCTTTTCTACTAACAAGAAAGCAGGGGCTCTGAGTAAATGCCCAAGTTATAACAGAGTCATAACTTGAAGCAAGGTGTGTGCAGCAAGCCTAAGGTTTCCTTTGAAAGAGGACACGTTCGGAATGAAGTTGTGTGCTTGTATGTGCTCGTTTGTGTGGGCACATGGACTTGGTGGTTGTAGGTGAGCCCACTGTTATAGCTGCATTGCCTCACCACTATTTCTGAGACAATATATGCCTAATAATTACATTTGTTGATAAAACATCATATTTTTAAAAGTCAACAGTTTATGTGTCTAATCAAGAAAGCAAAGCAGCCGGGCGTGGTGGCTCATGCCTGTAATCCTAGCTCTCTGGGAGGCCGAGGCGGGTGGATTGTTCGAGGTCGGAGGTCGCAGATGGGCAGGGAGCCCCGTCTCTCTATAGAAATTATTGCCTTTATATTTATATAGCGGCATGGTGGCGCTGCTGTAGTCAGCTACTGGGGGGGCATGAGCATAAGGATTGCCCTTTTCAGTGGACTAGGCTGCCATGGCACATCACCTGCCGCACAAGCGAGGCTCTGTCTCAAAAGAATGCAAAGCAACCTATTAAAAAAAAGAGACTGAAATAGGAATGCTGATCTGACTCCAGTTCTGCAACTATGTGGCAGTAGCAAGTCTCTTACTTAACCTAGTTGTGTCTTTCTCCTTCATATTTGCCTCACCCATCTAGCAGGATTATTAAGGACTTCTTTCTTTGAACACGGCTGTGTGCCAAGAATTTCGTATGCATTGACTTAACCTTCATAAAGACCCCGTAAATATGGAGTGATTTTTACCAGTAGAGAAAATGAGCCTTAGAGAAGTTAAGTTCCTCGTCCAAAGTATCACAGCTTGTACATGAAGCTGGAATTCAAACCTTCTACTATCTGATTCAGAGCCTGTGCTCTTAAAAAATACCCCATGATAGAGCTCTGTCATGAGGAACCAGAGAAATAATAAATGGGAAGGGCAAAAGTAAAGTGTTAACAAATGAAGTAACTCTAAGTTAACTTTAATTGACAAGTGCTCACATAAAGAAATATACGACCACTGTCCTCCTAGCAAAGGCACATAGCCCTATGAACACATGACACTTTGTCATGTCTTTTTCTAGTAAGGTAGAGGATACACTACTTGTGACAATCACAAACATAAAAGCAGCAGTATGTTTACTGATGCTTTAAGTTAGACTCCTTGGGAAGGAGTTATCCAAAACAATGTTCAAACAGCAAACTATTTCTTTAATATGGGCAAGAAAACACGGCTTTCTACTTGTCACATACCAGATCAAATCTGCATTTCCTGTAACTGTAGTAAATCACATGCCATTTTGCATTGAGATGACTTGTGATGTGAGCCCATAGCATATCCTATTATGACTCCAGGAAGATGTATTCCAGAAGCACTTTCTATTACCTATAGATCAGCAGAAGACAGAGACTTCTCCACAGTAGGCAGTAGTATGCACTAAGCAATCCCAATATGGCAGCACGCAGAATCTATTTCATGCAAAAATAGATTGCACCACATTCTTACAAGGCAAGCATCTACCTACAGAAGATAAAATTTTAATACTCACTAAGGCTGTGCCTCCATTCTCAAAATAAGAAGACAATAGAGGAATTATACAGTTTACTTTGACTCAACAGTGAATTTAAATATTTCTAATCAAAACCCGCCTCTTGTTTGTCTTTTTCTTCTTGAGTTGCAGGAATTTGAACCTACATTATCTCTTATCATTTTTATGGACACAGAGGTTAGAAACTTCATTTTTCACCCACAGATGCCATATATGAATGAGGCAACGTTTGCAAAATGTTCAGCTCTCTCCCTGACATATAGTAGTTGCTCAATAAATAATAGTACCCCATTTCCTCAGAGTATAGATACATCATTAATATTACACGGACTTTGCAATGAGCTTGACCATGTCCTGTAACTTTAACTTTGCAGGATTTAAATTGATACTACAATAATGTTTGGTATAGATGTTAAAAATGACTGCCATTTTCCGTATGCCTCCATTACACCCTGTGAATTTTTCTGATAGGTCACTATTGAGTTTTAGATTAATATTTGGTGACCAGGTTGGGTACAGTGGCTCACATCTGTAATCCCAGCACTTTGTGAAGCCAGAGTGGAAGGATCAGTTGAGCCCTGGGCAACACAGTCAGACCCCTTCTCTGAAAAAAAAATTTAAAAATTCGCCACATGTGGTGGCTTGCACCTGTAGTCCTAGCTACTCAGGAGGCTGAGGCAGGCAGATTGCTCGAGCCCAGGAGTTTGAAGCTAAAGTCAACTATGATTACACCTCTGTATTCCAGCCTAGGACAACAGAGCAAGATCTTGTCTCAAAAAAACAAACAAACAAAATCGATTACCAAAGTGTTAATTACAAACCTAAAAACAGGTTGCAAATATGTGCACAATGTCAATACCAGATTATAAAATATTTTCAATAATCTTAATCGTGCATGCAGAAAAAAATTCCTGCTCTGATAATATTAATAATATATACATGTGGGGAAAAAAAACCTACAAGAAATAATAATAGTAAAGGGTGAGTCATAGGATTATGGGTAATATTTAGTTTTTTCCTTCATGCATTTCTATATTTTGAAAAATCTTTATAGTAAGTATGAGTTACTTTTATAATCATAAAGAATGATATTTTCAAACGTGTGTCCAGGATGTTGTTTTAGATAAAAACACATTTATTGAGTATTGTGAAAATTGCTGACGGAAAATTATTGAACCAAGCTTTTATCTCCCAATTCCATTAGGTAGATCTATTATTTAAAATGAGAAATAAAAATAAAATAAAAGGCTTCATCAGAGTCAAATTGTCACCTCACACAAATCATCCCAGCAGTTAGACAGCTGAGTAGGAAAATGATCATGATGATGAGGGTGTGAAATGAAGGCTTACAAATGTCCTCGAGGCAAATCCTTTCCACCAAAGGATTAGTTAATAGGACATGACATAATCACCTTCCTGGTGGGGAGTTGTGGAAGTTTCCTT